AATAAATCTCTAAGTAAAGTATATGACAAAACTAAAATTCATCTCAGCACAGAGGGAAATTCAAATACAACCTTGCCTCGTCGATCTCCATCTCACCACATGTTAGATAACTTTGAGCCTGCGATTTCGTCCAAATTATTGCTAGGTAGCCTGAGTTAAAAAAAAAGTAAAATAAACTGAAAAAATAAAAGAAATACAGTCTGCACAGTCTGCATGTTCTGCAGTCTGTAGTCTGCAGTCTGTAGTCTGCAGTCTGCAGTCTGTAGTCTGCAGTCTGCAGTCTGTAGTCTACAATCTGTAGTCTGCAGTCTGTAGTCTACAATCTGTAGTCTGCAGTCTGCGATTTAACATGACCGGTAAAAACTAACACCACCTATATGCGTGTACTTTAAATTCCCACATAAGATTTCCTTTATGTTTTGCGAGACATGAATTTCGCTAGATTTTTTTTTTTTTTTTTTGCATACCGAAAGTCGTACAGGTGAACTTTCAGGGACACAATATTACAAGAAAATGATAAAGGGACATCTTTCAAGGATATTTTATTCTTGTAACAGCCCAAGGTATACCGACAAAGGAGGTTTTTGGACAACGTGATATTCATAAAAATCAAATCTTTTCTCCCCCACCCATTTACCTCCAGACGATATTGAATTTTGTGCACTGTGTAAACTTCACCAAGACGTGGTGACTGTTTAGGTTCACCAACATTGTTTGAGAGGAGGGAGGAAGGTTCTGTATACACGCCTGAATTGGCAATTACTGGTCTGTTCTGCTTTATGTTAGATCTAGGATATGCTTTTAAGAACTGTGCCAAGGATTTTGACTTCCTTTGTAGATTTTTAGAAGCCTAAGAAACCAAGTGAATGAATTTACACGCAGCTCTTTTGACAATTATGTGCTCTATTGTTAGTCCTGCACTTATGGTGGGCAACTATAGATTGCCACCTAAAGAAACGGAGGCAGAAATAATATCAGGCTTCTCGTGTTTTTCTTGCTAGTTCCGACCCTTCCCCCGTCTAATGTACCTGCGCAAGTGATCAATTCCAGCAGCATCATTGTCCGCTGGGATCCAGTCCCTGTTGAAGGAAGAAACGGCATCATGCTCGGTTACGAGGCTTGGTACAGAAAAATAGTTTTGCCGCCTGTTTGGAAGAGGATGGAATCTTGTGGTGTGTACTGGTGTGAGGCAACAAATCTTGAAATGGACAATCCCTACCGCATCAGTGTCAGAGGTTTCACAGTGAAAGGAGCAGGGCCTTTTGCATCAGTGGAAGCCATAACTGAGAAGAACGGTAAGGTTTGAATTTGAACTGATGACAAAATAAACAAAAATTTATCAAGTGCGTCTGGGCCCTTCGAGAAAAGATTCTTTGAATTTTTTAAAGAAACTTTTAATTCTCGTGCTCACCCTCAAATTTCTTCCTTTAAGACGGATACTTCTGCTGTCCTTCTTAAAAGTCAATTTTCAAGCGAGCGTCGAAAAACAGAAACCGGGATTGCATTGATTTGCTATTATATTGCTATTATATTGCTATTATATTGCTATTATATTGCTATTACGAGGCTGGACCTGACTGGGCAGGCTCGGTTCCCGGATCTCACTTCACCACATTCCTTTAGTAAATATTTCAATATGTTTACAGGCTAGTTACCAAGTCCTCAAACCAGGCTAGAAATTTTCACAGATAAATACCGATAGCCTCTCTCCACTGAGATGAACAGGGTTTAAGAAACCTGTTCAACGCTGTAATTAACCTGAAATTTCCGTCAAGAGCCAGTAGCAAATGTACTTTAATTTCCCTTGTGAATAAAAGAGAATCCCCGCAACACCCAGAGCTAAAAGAGGAATTGTGGGTTGTGTGTGTTTTATGTTTTGGTGGGAAAATGTTACAGCCACATCTTGTAATACCCCGTACCGAAGCCGCATCACAGTTTCTTTAGAAACTTACCCCCTTTATACTGTAATTTAGTTCCACGCCAGCCTCTAACGAACCTCACAGCGCACAACACAAGCTCCACAAGTATCCTGGTCACGTTATACCCAGTCCCCTTAAATGAATCAAATGAGCCAATAATAGCATTTGAATTGATCCTGTCAACCGCTGACAACTCAAGCGAGAACGAGACGATTACCGCCATATTAGGAAATTGTGAAAACACCACCAAGATAACTCACCATCAGACCAATCTGCAGGAGTACACAGCATACAGCATCAGTGTAGCCGGTGTGACCAAGAAAGGATTTACACAATCCACTCACAAAATAACTGTTTTTACGGACGAAGACGGTAAGTATAAGCAAGAGAAAATGAGGGGATTCATGCGATTGCCTTGGGTATGTCAGTTCCTTTGACATTGCTTTTAGTGTCGGATGGAAACGAAGGTCTGTATCCCCAGACTATTTGCAAAAGTCTGTATGCAAATGATCCACTCGATAATTCTCGCCCAAGAAAATCCTTCTCCACGTCATTTCAAACTCGTTTACGTCCACAAAGTCAGTTTCTCCGCTGTCTGGCTTTAGTTTAATTTTCCCGGACATCATACCGAGGCTAACCCTTGTGTGAACTTCGCAGGAAACAGCAACCCGTTCGAGTTACAAGGCATACTTTTTTTAGACCGTCCAAGAATCTCTAAAAACTTGGAGCGAGAGGTGTTACGTCATGCTATTTATGTTGAAATGAAATAAAATGCTATAGGCTGCTCGACATGATTAACCCTCAAATAGATTGAATATATAAGTTAATGATATTGTCAACGTCAACTTAAATGTTTTTATAAAGCCTTGTAGATTGAACATTGAAATTCA